TTTTATGTAATCTTGCTGGTATTCTAGAATGCAGACTGACCGGGAGAGGAGAGAGACGAGAGGCAAGATTAGTCAGGAGGCCTTTGTAATGCCTTCATGAGAGAGATAAGAGCTAACACGAGGTGATAAGACTAGGAGTGGAAAGAATAAAAACAGAACAGAGTAATGTTCCTCAGAGAACTAGCTTTCCAAGTAGGATTACCAGATAAAGTGCTTATGCCAAAAAATTGTTTATCTGAAATTCAAATTTCCCTCCTGCCCCAGGGTTTTTTGTTTGTTGTTTTCTAAATCTGACAACCTGATTTCAAAGAGGTACCTGAAAGGACTGTGGCCTCACTTGGGGGCTTTGTCTGGACACTGAGCCATCAGCTTCCTTTCCCAGCCAAGGCCTTCTCTTGTTCTTTCTCGGTAGCACAAGCCTCCAGTACTTGGCCCTTTTTCAACACTGTTCCCACCTGCTCTGTCTCCCGGGCCACCTCTTCTAAAGGGCCTGACTGTGAAGCAGACTGCAGTTGCTCAGCTACCAGCTTCCTTGCTTACTCCCAATGTAAGTTCCCAGCCTCTCCTGAGAGTTGTATCTCTAATCACTAAAGACACAGGGAAACAAACAATAAACAACTGTATAAGGCCTTAAAAGTTATCACAGTTGGCATCTCAGGTTTACAGCTGCTGACCACCACTCTCCCAGTGATTTAAACACCTCCTTTATTCCTGAGGATGAAACTCAACGCTAAACAGTCTAGTGCCCATTTATCCTGTCAACCAATGGTCACTGATACCAATTCAAAGCCAACAGGGATCTCCAACTTGGGGTGCAGTGTAAATACTCAACTGTAACACAGCACGGCTGCAGAACAGCTCAATTATGAGACAGCATGGCTGTGAAATAGCATGATGGCTGCAAGATGACTCTTGAGCCCTTGGGCAAGGCACCTCTTCTGCTGGACAGCCCTGCTGTCTAATGTGATGTCTTTGGTGTTTCAGCCCAAACCATGTAAACACAGATTCCAATTCCCTGGGCCAAGTGACAGTGAGTTTCCAAGCCAAAGGGGACCTGACTTATATAGAGAGAAGTCCCCACTCCTGGTCCCTGATTGGTCTATCCTCATGCAAATGAAGACTCCAAATCCTCACAGTTCTATTGGTCCAAAAGGCATTGTCCTGATTGGTCAAAATTGAGCCACTCTGATTAGTTGGTGAAGATGCTGATGGCAGTTGGGGGGAGGGGGAAGGAGATAGCTGCACGGTTCCAATTGGACAGGAAAAGTCTCAGTCCTATTGGTTGAAATACAATTCCCCTTTATAAGGGCTGGCTCAGGTGGCAGGAACACAGTACAGACAGGCAGTTTAGTGGGGCTTTCTCCCTAAAGTATGGCTTTACCATTGGCTTGCTAGACTGTTTTTAAATTTGAGCCCAGTTAGCCATAGTAGGTATCGGCTTACTCGGGGTCAGCAATCTCTGTGGACCCCTTTGCCCTCCAGAAGCATTTCTGCATGCACATCTTCCCCCGTGGCCCACAGAATTGTGAGACACTGGAACATACTAGAGCTTAAGGGACAGAGGTCTGTGCCCTTTGAGAATTCAACAAGAGATGTAAATTTTCTCAAAAGCCATGAAAATAAAA